TGCTCAGTCGCGCTCCCTACGGCGGTCAGTCAGGGGCGGACCCGCGGCCTGGGTCGTGACGCGGCTTTCGTCTTCGTTGGGACATAATTGTCGATCTCTGCCCCGGCCGAACTCTAGGGGCCCGGAGGCCTTGAACATAGAGAAACAAAAAAGTCTTCGGTGAGAGGTAGCAGCTGCGTAGCGGTTTCGAGGAACGAAATACTGCTGATCTCTGTCTAAACTCCCATCTAAGCCCTACTTTAGGAGGCTTAGGATCTGTCTGTAGGGATAGTGAAGTAAGCCTCAAGCCTGCGCTAATACCCTCGCTGACCTTACAGCACATGCAGCTGGCTCTAGAGCATGCCTGGGCTGCAGTTCACAGGGTGGCACGGTGGAACCGGGCCTGTCATCCCACGGGTTAGCGCACAACGTGGATGCAAAACACGGCTATTGTTCTACCTCAGCTGAGATGTGCTGCCTGAGTGGGTATACTACCAAGACGTTTTAGGGTGAGTACAAACAGATTAGCATAAACTCGGAATTAGTAATTTGTAGCACAGAGACTTTGAATGTTGCCCAGCAAAGCTAGTAGGTAGGAACCACACCGCCTTTGTTCCTGTGGAGTTCTGAATTCAACGAAAGTCCCTGCTTCACAAAGAGGTGGATATATTGCTGATAATTCACAGCTCCCTGTCTCAGTGAGAAACAGTATGTCTTGGCTCATGCTGAGTTGCTACCAGCACAGTACCTGTAAGTGTTTGGAAAGAAAATAACAGGTTGGCCCACTATCCCTGAAAGTTTTCTGAACCCTACATTTAAATTACCCTCAGTGGAGCTAAACCAATCTGATTCAGCCTGAAACAAACAGTCACATAGTTGCAATGAAGGGATAACTCTAGAAATTGTTTCTCATCACTTCTAGTTACCGCTTCTGTCTAATGCTTGATACTTGCTTAAAACATTGTTGCAGACGTAATCCCCGTGCCAGTAAATTTATTGTGAGTACCATTGAGATTCAAAAGCTGTCTCAGGGCTCTAGGTAAGTCACTCTCTGGATATGAATTTGTGAGGCATGTAGCTTTAGGTTATTTCAAGTGGAGTTCTCTGCAATGACCATTTTCTACAGTTAGACACATAAGTCCTTTCTTGCAATGTAGCCGAAAAGATGAAGTGGCATCCAAACTTTACATTTTTAGCACCTGTGCCAGTGGGATGTATGTCAAGCTCAGTTTCTTCTTTTCCAGTACAGAATGTAAACTGGCACCTCTGTTAGCACAGCAAACCAGTAATCAGTATCCACCCCAGATGAGCATTTTAATCATTGAGATAAAATCCTACTCCTTTTTCTTCCCCTGCACGAGCTTTCTTCTGTCTTCCCCATAGAAACTTTGCATTGTTTGCTTTCTCTCTGGCTCCATGAAACTTACTTTCTTGTCTGAGAGCGGCACAACTTCAAGAGGAGGCATGCAGAGACCACCTGCCCTGTCTGTCCCATCCCAAACCTTCCCTATAGAATAAATTACTGTCCTAGCAAGGGTCAGATGTGGATTTGAGCCTCTTTGCATGCAGGTAGGGTTCTCCTGTTTCCTGGGCAAATGCTATAACCATTGAGTTACTACCTACAAGACTGCAGGCAGACCTGCTGTTTCTATGTTTTGTTGGAGGGAAAGGGCTGCCTCTAACTTTTATCTGAACAAACTTCTCAGCTGGGCACTGAGTCTGCCTACAAGCCTGGGTCTCTTGGAGACTTGTGGGAAAGCCCGCATTACTGGTGGATCTAAGTACAGCTTAATTTTGAGATGGATCCTGGATCACTAACCAGGAGGGATGCAGGTCTGATCGTGAGCAGAATTTGCAGGAACTTCAGTTATCATGGGAGCTTGACTAGTGAACATGAAAATATTTAAGGGGGAGGGGGGAGTATGGACAGTTGTTATAAGAACTACACTTAAGAATCAGCGCTGCCTTTGTTCCACACTGGCAACCTAATGGTGAAGAAGAGCCTTTGCTTCTTTTCAGCATGAGAGGTTAGCAGGTTCTACACGTGCCCAGGAAAAACTGTCAGGCACCTGGTCAACCATGCCAGTAGATCTTGTTAGGTCTGTTTACATTAGGGCACTTCCACTTTAGGTAGTCACAGAGAAGAATATCTGAAGGTCTGCATTTTGAAGTTAGCTAAGTGACAGCTGGGTGCCTTGGTTATTTGTGGATTTAGTATTGATGTGAAGGGAAGCTTTTTAAGGAGTCTGTGGTGATCTGAACTCAGTTGTTCAAATCTTGAAAAGTGGTGCTCTAACCAGCCAAGTCTCTCTTTGTGGGATGCATGAATTTAATCTCAAAGTCACTGGTCTGATACCTCTCTCAACTGAAAGACTTGTGAAAAACATTTGTTTAAAAACATCATGTTGGGTTCACCACAGTGCACAACTGTCATTAATGTTTCATTTCAATTTCACTGTCTTTCTCCACACTGAAGGAAAACCAAGCAAGTAAAATCTTGATGTGACCATCAGTCTTTGCAGATGGATGACAGTATCCATCTGCATTAAATAACTGGCAGGTTTGGGACCTTACAATGTCACAGCCTTTTTTATTTTTTTTTTTTTAATGGATTAAAACTTTGAGATGCTAATGTAATAAAAATGTAATTTGATTAATTTATGCCATGATTTACATAAAATGAAAAGACTATTTTAAATTCATGCTGAAAATAGACTAAATGCCACTTACAGCCTGTCTGCTGTCAAAATATCCTTTGTGTTTTGTCCTCAGAGTGTATGTTAGTTAAAATTAGAGCCTGCAGAATAGAGAAAAAAAAAAAAAAAAAAAAAAAAAAGATAAAATCTTTGGAGAAGAAGAGGAGGGCAAGCCAGAATTGTTATTTCCTTTCCAGAGGCAGAAATAGCAATACATTTCTGTTAGAAACTTAAGTCTTCTGTTATTTTTGCTCAGTGAGTCTCTTCTTGTTTGATAAATTATTTCCATGGCTAAAAATTTCGGTTATCTCTTTCTAGCCAATATGTATGATTAGAACTTAAATAGTATCTTTGCAACTGAAAGCACATTTTGTATAGGTAAGAAAAATGCCAGTAAAGTTTGCTAGTGAACTTCCTTGCTGAATAAAATACCTGATAAAGAGGCCATTCTTCAAGCTTCTACCTTACGGAAATGTGGGAATATTTTCAGTTGAGTAGTGAGTGTCAGGGAAGATTAATATTATGTAAACTGATGAAAGAATATACAGAAGTTCTCTTACTGTCACTGTTCAAAGCTCCTAATACAATTTTTTGAAACACAATTAAGCAGAAAGAAAAAGGCAAGAGGTAAGATATTATGAGATAATCATACCTCTAGGCCATTATCAAGCATCGAACTGACTGTAAAGGCCTAAACAGCCTCTTCAAAGAATAGACTGTTTAATAGCTATCGCTATAGAACTATTTAGCCCCTTTTATCTACTCAGTCAGCTTTTGGTGTATTTGACATCAATGTATTTGCATCTGTCTTATTCTGATGTCTTTGGGCTTTCAAATCTGATGTCTGGCCAAAAAATATGAAGTCAGGTGCTGTAAATGTATTTTGTTTTCTTCTGTAAAATAGCAATTTCTGAGAAAAAGGAAGAGATGGTGTTCCCTCTCTGCCAACTAGTATAATGTTTACATTAGCAAAGATAGGCAAGATTCAGAGATTAATTTCACGCAAAGTTTTTTTTCTGTGCTTCATATTTGGTAGGTGACAGTATGACTTGTTAGGATTCTAAAGATAAAGTTTTACCATATTTTAAATCAAGAGAAATAATTTCTCAGATATTTGAGATGTTGGGTGGGGGTTGCTTTGAAGCTGACAGTCTTAAAGAAGAATAGTGATTCCGAAGCTGGGTGGTTTTTTTTTTAGGCTAAGGGGGCCCCAGGAGACTCCCCAAATTTTCTGTGGATTGCCATGATTTTTTCATGGACTACAAATCACTCTTACCATTAGAATTTCAGGTGTAAATAGAGTGGCTTCTGTGGACCTGCTATGAGCCATGCACTACAGCCTCAGTCTATGGACTGCAAGTTGCATTTGGCATTGTACTAAAGTTCCCAATCTGTTCTGTAGTGGGGGCCAAGCTTCATGGAAAATCCTTATTCCTCATGCTTGTGTCTACATATTTGCCATTCTGTTAAAGACATATTGATATTTTTTGTAGAACATAATTTAATGTGAGATACAAAATATAAAAAGAGTTTGTAAAATTCTAAAAATACATTGTCAGCACTGAAATTATTTCAGATATCTGAATTCTCTTTTAATTCTTATTATATATTCTCCCACCTTTCAGAAAACCTGAGTATTGTTTTAACCACCTTTTCCATTAA